GAACTCAGCGGGAACTGAGCGAGAACTCAAAGTAGCGAGCTCCTAAGGTAGTGGAACCGCTTAATTGTGGGACAGCAGAGGTATATATACCCAACTGATTACACACAGCTTGACTCAATTAACATCATCTAGATACAGCAGTCAGCCAATAAGGAATCCTCATCATCTTAATGGCTCGCTTGCATTGCTTCACAAACCACTCCCCCTGGCAAACTGCCAGGTGACATCTTGACTTGATTTGCATCCCCAACAGACTTTTTTTTTTTCCTTTGAGAACATCATTAGTATTTTGATGGGGATTGCAGAGAATCTGTAGATCACATTTGGTAATGTGGCTATTTTGACAATATTAATTCTGCCAATCCAAGAACATGGGAGGTCTTTCCATTTTCTAGTGTCTTTAATTTCTTTCTTCAGTGTTTTATAATTTTCACTGTACACATATCTCATTGTTTAGATGTATTACTAGTTTTTTTTTTATTTGTTTGAGGCAATTGTGAATGGAATTTTCCTGATTTCTTTCTCAGCAGCACCATTATTGGTGTCTAGGATAGTTTGACTTTTGCTAGTTGATCTTGTATCTACCTAGTTTGCTGAATTTATCAGCTCTAAAAGTGTGGGTTTTTTCCTTGGGTGTGGGAGGCCATTTCTCGTATGTGATTTGAGTTACCTCCCTGGCTGGGCGAGAGGCACTTAGGCACATCTTGTGTCTAGATCTTTCCCCACACTTCTCAGGTCCAAGTCTTTGTCTGCGTGGAGGCATGTCTCTCTCTCGATAGCCTCTTCAGTAAACCTCGGTACCATAATAGGTGGCTGGAGGCTGGAGCTAAGAGGAGCCATCCTGGAGCTAGTTTAAAGGTAATTAGAGTCTTGTCTCTTTAATTCAAAAGTCCCTAGAGATTTCTCACGTTTTGAATATTCATTCATGAAGCCAGAGCTGTCGCAGGCTAAACTTGGGGTCTTCTAAGTATAGAATAATGTCATCAGCAAACACGGAAATCTGAATCCTTTTCTATTTTTCTCTCTTTAATTTTCATCTTTTGCCAGATTGCTCTGGCTAGAGTTTCAAGTACTGCATTGAATAGGAGTGGTGAGAGTGAACATCTGTGTCTTATTTCTGTTTTTAAAGAAAATACTTTCAATTTTTTTCCACTTAGTATGACATCAGCTTTGGGTTTGACATATATAGCATTTGCAATGTTGACACAAGTTTCTTCTATTCCTAGTTTCTTCAATATTTTTAACATGAATAGGTACTGAATTTTGCTAAAGGTTTTTTTAATATTTAGCGAGATGTGTATGTAATGTTTTTTTCTAATTCTATTTATGTGATATATTGCATTTACCAATTTTCATATATTGAGCCAATCTTACATCTCTGGATGGAACTGATCTTCTTAATGTGTTTTTGAATGTAAATTGCTAATATTTTATTTAGGATTTTTACATCTATATTCATCAGACATACTGATCTATAATTTTGTTTCCTCGATGTGTCTTTTCTGCTTTGGTATCACAGTGATACTGGCTTCATAGAATCAGAACACATTTCTTGTCATTCGTTGATGTATGACTCTAATGTATATTTGATACAGAAATATTATGAAATCTTAACCATAATAAGCTACAAGTTAAAATAATTCATATGCCTAGACCAGAAAAACTTGTTGCATTTCATTCTAGTCTGGTATACTTCTCCTCCTGCAGCCTGAATGTTGCACATCTCTCCTTCTCTCCCTCTGTTTCCCTCAGATGATGAACACAAGCTTCAGTGGCCCCCTGCACTGCTCTCTCCAAATGCCATTTTCTAGATCAGTTGGCTCTCTGCCCCGCAAAATGCATTTGTCACTTTTTCCTGCCTTCTTGCATCCCACTACTACATCCCCATTCCTCACTCCTAGAGGATGAAATTCTTTCTCTTTTCACGTGAGAAAAAAGTAGGACTCAGGTAAGGACTGCCTCAGAATCCCCACAGAGCCTGCACATTTGAAACTGTCCCACCAGTGATGGTAGATGGTCTGTTGCTCTACACCTGGGAACAAGGTTGGCCCCTCACTCCCCTGCATCTTCACTTTCCACTCTCTGGGGCTTACTCATTCGTGCATTAATCATATTGCAACATCTCCCATTAAAACAAACATAGTTAACTTTATTATTTAAAACAAAATTGCTCCTTAAAAAATCACCACCTGACCCTATGTCTTCCTCCAATTACTGCCTCATTTCTCTGATACACCTTATAGAGTGACATCTGAGTTCTTTCTCTCATGTTGTCTTTTTAAACATTGATTTTTTTTTCCTAGTAGAATCATGGCAACATTTCCAAGTTCAAATGTTTCTACAAGGTTTGCTATAAAGACAAATGGCCCCAATCTTCCATATAGCCCCCATTTCCTAATCCCCAGAAGTAGCCTGTTTTACTGTTTTGCCTGGTGCTGTCATTGCTACCTCTGTGCCTAAATAGAATGCAAATAAGACTCATCTTTAATTTTTCAGTTTCAACCTGCACTCTTAGTGGACAGCTTCCATTCACAGGCACCATTCTTTCAACAATCATTCTATCATTTTGATAGATCAATGTTATTTATATTGACTATGCAAGTGTTATTCACAACTAGACTTGTAGCTTTCATTACTTTGTTGCCTTGGACTGAATTTAACTTCCCTGCAGTCAATAATAATGTTCTTCCTTCATTTTTTTAGTTTCTAATGTTCTCACTCCTGGAACATTCTCAAACTCTCCCCTAGAATCTCTTCTATGGTTTGAATGTGTGCTCCAAAGTTCACATGTTGGAAACTTGATATTCAAATGTGGTGGTGTGGGGAGATGGGGCCTAATGGGAGGTGGGTATGAGGGTCCTGCTGTCATAAATAGATCAGTCAGTACTGTTACCTTGGAAGTAGGTTGGTCCCTCCTTACCACTCTTGCCCTCTCCCTTGCCCTTACACCTTATAACATGAGTATACAGCAGGAGGGCGCTAGCCAGACACCAGTGCCTTAACCTTTGACTTCCCAACCTTACTAATGGTGAGAAAATACATTTTATTCTTTAAAATTTACTCAATATGTGGTGTTCTCATGTAGCAGCCCAACAGACTAAGACAGTCTCCATGAATATATTAAGGTATATCTAGGATTCCTCTAATTCGATCTTTGTTAAGACACCAGTCCTAGAACTCTCAGTCCTGCCAGACCTGGACTGGATGCCTTCACAACTGGATTGAGGCTGACTCCCTGGATCTCCTTCACCTCAGGGGGAACACACTTGGCCTCCATCTCTTGTGCTGGCTCCTTTTAACTACGTTTCACACATCCCCCTTTCTTGGTTTTCCTCCATTATTTTTGTTTCTCACTTCAGTTAGCCATATCCTAGAGAAATATAGAAAAGAAAATATTGAGAATAAAATCATGGCATTTGAAGGTAAATGGTTAGAGTTGGAGAATATCATGCTTAAGCAAAATAAGCCAATCCAAAAAACCAAAGGCCAAATGTTCTCTCTGATAAGTGGATGCTGATACATAATGGGGAGGGGGCAAGGGAAGAATGGAGGAACTTTGGATTAGACAAAGGGGAGGTAGAGGAGGGGGCATGGAGGTAGGAAAGATGGTGGAATGAGAAAGACATCATTACCATAGGTACGTTTATGATTGCACAAAGGTGTGACTCTACATCGTGTACAACCAGAGAAATGAAACGTTGTTCTCCATTTGTGTACAATGAAATGAAATGCATTCTTTTGTCATGTATAACTAATTAGAACAAATAAAATAAATAAATAATAATTTAAAAAAATATTGAAACCCTAAACGTCTGAAATATCTTTAGGACATCCTAGCTCTTAGTCCAACTTTAACTTAGTACAGAATTCTGTGTTAAAAATATTTTTACTTTGAATGCATCTGATATTGCTTCAACATTTTCTAGCTTCCAAAGCTGCTTTTCCTGCCTCTTGAAAGGTTCAGGGTCTTTTCTTTTTTACCTGCTTTCTGAAATGTCATTGTAATGTATCTTTGCATGGGTAAGTTTTCGTTTGTTATCAGGCAGTTCAAATGTAATTTGGGGGGGGGGATTGTAAACACAGTAATTTTCTTGAGATTTGAAAATCATTGCTTACTCTTTACTATTTCGGAATTGATATTGTTCAATTGTTGGAAATCCTTTATTGACAGGCTTGTTCTCTTATAGTTCTTCGGTCTTCCTTACCACTATTTTACTAGGTGTAAGACTTCTTTTCTGGTACTAATTTAATTGTCCAAATCATCTATAGACTTATTCATTTCTGTGACCAGTTTTAAATTTTTAACAACTTATTTTTGTTTTTTTCTGCACATAATTATGCATAATTCCACTACTTGTTCACAAACACCATATCTTTCTACCTGTTGAAGCAATTATCTAGAGTAGTGGCAGTGAATCAAGGGAAGAGGATGGAACCAGTTGGGATCTCTCCACAGTTTACTGAGAGCAGCAATTCTCAAAGTGTGATTTGTGGAACCCCCAGAGGTGTTTAGACTATTGCACAGGATCCATATTATCAAAAATTATTTTTATAATATCACTAAAACATTGTTTAAAATAAAGTAAAACTCAGAAAATTGGAAGTTGTGGTACCAAACTGCAATAGTAGTTAGTGTGTTCTTGAACACTTTTAACTGTACAAGGGAAAACATTCCAGTTCACTTAAATATGTCCTGAAGTATTAAAATCATTAAATTTATTAAATTGCCATTCACGGTGCATGTTATAAATATACTTATTTGATAGAATGGAAGTACACATAAAACACATCTGCTACATTCAACCATAGGGAGTTTGCATCAACAAAAGCCATTTGTTGAGTTGTACTGGCCTCCACTTTATGGAATATCATTCATGCTTAAAAGAATGAACGACAGGGGAAGTATTACTTACACTTCAATATTTGGCCAATATTCTAAAAAATTACCTCAACATGTCCCTTTGAGATAATCCACTGACATCAATATATTCAATAATAACATGTATGCTCTCAAGAGGAAAAGAGAATCTGAGCAAACCTGCATCCACCACTATCAACCTGCAGACTTCCAAGTACTTACAAAACTTTCTGGGGAAATCTGTGGTTATATCAAAATAATGAACATAAGACCTATTGGTTAATTTCACTTAAATCTGTTAACACTAAAAGGTCTATATAACTTGGACAAAGAATGCATGACTTTTAAAAATATCATTCACTAGCACAAGATCAATTCAATGTGCAAGACACATCCACAGACTTTAATGGATAGAATATGAATTATTCAATGACAATGTTTCATGGTCCTTGTGGCAAAAAAAAAAAAAACTTTTAAGAAGCTAACATTTGTGTCATTTTAGTGTAGTATCAAAGATGAATATTGGAAACGTTATTAAAAACATTCCTCCTATATATTTGTGTGAGGCTGCATTTTTTTGTTTCAACCAAAGTCACAAATTAAGTGCTGAAAATATGAATATCTAGCATTCTCTGATGACAAATAAAAAGGCTTTCCAAATTGTAAAAAGTAAAATGATCCATTTTCCAATTAAATATTTTAATTTGAGAAAAGTTATTTTTCTTTGAAACAGTAGTTATTTTTCTTTGAAACTACTGTTTCAAAGAGTGCTGAACATTTTTCATGCAATTAGTTAACATGCAATTAGTTATTAACATTCAGGAGGAATAAAAATATCTTTCAAATGGCATTAATTTCTAATATGGCAAATATTGATAGACATAACCCACATAAATCTAACTACCTCTGGAGTGCACACTACTTTCTAAGAGCATATAAACATCCTGAAACCAAAATGTTTGAGAACTGCTGATTTTACACCCTGAGGCAGAAATCAAGGGATGGTGAGACAAAGAATGATTAGTAAGAAGGAGTGTTCAGGGCAAACTCCCAGCCCTGGGCGTGGCTCTCAGGGTCTAGAGCTGTGTCTGGGGTGTGGACAGGGAGCGCTGAGGATTCCCTGTCTTCTCTGAGTTTCACTTTTTCTCCTCCCAACCAGGGCCAGGTCATTCTGCCTGGACACTCCTGACTGGGCCATAGTTCTCACTCCCATGTCGTCTTATTCCTAAAGAAGCCAATCATTGTGACTGCGGTTTGAATTTTAAAGTCCACAGCGACCTACCCCCACCCCCGCCACTCCAAGTCGCAGAATCTCCACAGAGCTGCAGGACGAGGGTGCTGGCACCCCCAATGCTGCTCCTCGTGCTCTTGGGAGCCTTGGCCCTGAGGGACACTTGGGCGGGTGAGCACAGGATTGAGAGGGAAATAGCCTCCATGTGGGAGGAGCGAGAGGACCATCCAGTGAGCACTGAGGACCTGGGGAAGGTGCTTCCCCGCCGTCCCCAGCCCAGACCCTCCCCAGCTTGGCGCGGTCCTTCCCTTCCCTCCCCTCCCGCCCCTATGTCCTGCCCTTCTGCTCCCACCGCCCCCTTAGCGTCTCTGGAGCCCGCTCCTCTCCTCCTGGGGTAGTCAACCTGGGAGCTGGTTGGGTGGTCTCAGTGGCTCCCTTCCCCAGGCTCCCACTCCCTGAGGTATTTCGACACCTCCGTGTCCCGCCCCGGCGGGGCGCCCCGCTTCATCTCCGTGGGCTACGTGGACGACACGCAGTTCGTGCGCTTCGACAGCGACGCCGAGAATCCCAGGATGGAGCCCCGGGCGCCCTGGATGGAGAAGATGGGGCCAGAGTATTGGGAACGGGAGACACAGACCTCCAAGTGCAATTTACAGAGTCACCAAGTGAGCCTCAACACCCTGCGCGGCTACTACAACCAGAGCGCAGGCGGTGAGTGACCCCGGCCCCTGTAGGAGGTCGCGACCCCTCATGTCCCTCACAGACGATCCCGAGTCCTCAGGATTTCCAGGCCGAGCTTCACCCCAAGGCTGAGGGACTTGCGGGGACCCTCTTCCCAAAAAACGCCCTTGGGCACTGTGAACGGTTTCGTTTTCAGTTTAGGAAAAACCCGCGGGGTGGGCGGGGATGGGCCATGGCTGATAGGGCCAGGGACAGGCTCTCACACCTTCCAGAGGATGTATGGCTGCGACGTGGGGACAGATGGGCGCCTCCTCCGCGGGTACCTTCAGGACGCCTATGATGGCGCGGATTACATCGCCCTGAATGAAGACCTGTGCTCCTGGACCACCGCAGATGCAGTGGCTGAGATCACCAAGAGGAAGGGGGAGGCAGCCGGTGACGCAGAGAGCTTCAGGGCCTACTTGGAAGGAGATTGCTGGAAGTATCTTGCAGGCTACCTGGAGAAAGGGAAGGAGTCCCTGCAGCGCACAGGTATGAGCAGCTGCTGAACACCTGCACCATCTCCTGTAGATCTCTCTAGTAGTTCCCAGGAGGAGGGGAGGAGAATGGCGCCCACTGTAGCACACCACTCTGCTCATAGTCCAGAGGGGAGGGTGTGGGCCTGGATTCCCCAGTTCTGTACTAGAGAGGAACTGAAGGCTGCTTTCTCTGAGGACAAGTAAGGGATCTGGTCACTCTCTCCGTGGCTGGTGGGAAAGGCAATAAATACCTGACCCCAGGTCCCTGTCAGCAGTCTTGGCATCCAGGAGAGACTGTCAGGTTCATTCCAGCCTAACATCCTTGGAGGTCTGACTCCAGCTTTTCCACATGTCCCAACCTGTATCAAGACCAGAATCTGAAGTCTCTGTCAGGGACCTGAAGACTCTTCCACTGGGTTATCTCAATCTGATTCTAGAACTTTCCAAGGAATAGATTGTGCCGAAGCCTGCATCCTGGCTTGTGTCTAGATTTTGTGCTCTCTTGCCCACCTGAAACCTGTTGTCTATCACTCAGGATGGTCAAGTAAGGCAAGAGAAAAGCAAGGGACGCAGGCAACAGAGAAGGAGCATGCCCCATACCTTGGTTTTTATTGGGGGAGGGTGTTCAAAAGAACATTCCATCCAAATAAGGCAGAAAGGGTAGTGTTAAAGGAGAACAGGGTCACATCCACTCCCAGAGCTGCAGTCCCCAGGCTAACAAAGGTGAGGTCCACCGGCTTTTGTGTGCAACAGAAGCCAGTTCCACACCTCCATCCCTCAAGGCTAAGGTGTTGTGCTCAGCTCCTATATGGCAGTTCCTGATAATGTTCCCTGCCTTGTTAATGGGAAGTAATATCTATATGTGTCCTTATCCAATATGGTAATCCCTTTACTCTCTTTACTCTCTGTAAATTGCACAGAAATTAAAGGACAAATATATCCTCTTGATATTTGTGGTGATGGGGGCCTGATTCCCAGCATTTAGAGGCCAGAGGGGAATTTTCCAGGTGAAGACAGAACTCCAGGAAAGTAATTATCTTCATCCTTACCTATTTATTTTCTTCTTGTCCTCTGATCCTACATCTACAGTCACAGTTCTGAAGACTTCCCCAGTGTCCAGGACTAGGGGGCACCTCTCAGACCTGTTTCCAAACTGCTCTCTCACAGGCAGCTTTCTTCCCACAGGTGTAAAACCAGAAACCTATGCTCCAGCTGCCTGTAAGTGTGAAGAACAGTGATCTCCGAGACCCTGGGTGACTGTAGTGGGAAGCGATGGGGGAGTGATCCACCCATAATTCATCCATTAGCCACGTCTCCTGTGGACTCTGACCAGGTTCTGTTTTGGTTCTGCTCAGGTAATGACAGTTCCCAGGGCTCTGACGTGTCTCTCACTGGTTAAAAAGGTGAGACCCTGGAGGGCCTTGAGGGAGAAGAGTTGAAGAATGGGGAGACTCTGAGTTACAGGGACCCTCCCAGGAATTTCTGACATTTTAAGTGTTTAATGGGTTGTTCAGAGTGTCTTCATTACAATGACTTATCTGAATTTGTTCATATTACTTTCTTTTACAGTATTTTCTTTCAACTAATACAGGATTTCCTCAGTTCTCTTCCTGATCCCTACTGCAGTTTCAAGAGGTCCCAACTTCTCTTTGTGCAGCTGGCAATTAACTGTGTCTACGTGTCTGTGTTTCTGTCATCAGATCATGAGGAAATGGAGACAGGCGCTCATCTTTGATCACCAAGAACCCTCCCTACACTGTCCTGTTCTCTTCCTCAGTTAACTTTCCTATGAAGCAAATATGGGACTGGGATGTCTTCATTCCTGGTAGCTTTATGTTGCCCTGGGCTGTAGACTTTTCCTTGTCCTTTGGAAAACAGAATGTGTATATTGATTTGTATTTCACATTTGTGACATGAATTATGGTTGTGGGTTAATTATATGAAAAGAGGATTCCTAAAATTTCTGAGAGAAAATAAAACCCCAAACCTTCCAGAATCCACATGTTTGCTGTGCTGAGTCTGTCTCAGGTGGGGACAGGAGAAAGATGAAAGGTGGACAAAGCAGCACCCAGTCTGTGCTCAGTCCATCCTGGGTTTGATGTGGTTACTCCTCAGTTGGATCATCTTCCCTGGTCCTTAGACCCATCGGTTCAATTGAACCTCATCCCACCAGGACCTGTAATGACAGGGACTCAGGCATCACCAGGGCAGGTTCTGTCTCCAGGACCATGGGCAAAGAGGGCATCACATTGAGTGGGTTAACATAGGCTGAGACCTGAGTCTGACCTTGTGCTCCCATCTTTTTTTTGTTTCTCAGTTTCTGTGGAGAATTATCCCTATTCTTATTATTAAGTATGAGTTCTGGTCTCATTCTTCTCTGGGTGTCTCTCTTTGAGAGCAGCAGAAATCCTTTTTCCTGTCATTTTCCCACAAAACCCAGGGCAGTTTTCTGGATTATATTTTCCATCATTTCTGCAGTATTTTTAAAGGGACCAGATATGAGAGTCCCAGAGAAGAAGGATCTTATGATTTCTCATCCTAGATAAATTCCTCTTAGGTTTTCATTTTCTCTACTCAGCAGTTTCACTGTCCTTAACAAGATTAATTCTAGAACTTGCTCCAAAAACATGCAAAAAGCAGCATATATCTGTCCATGGTGGCTTTATCATATCATGGGAAATTAAGGCTTATCTTTTGTTTTAGGATAAAACAAAACTCCATATCACCACATTAACAGAATGATGGTGAAAATCATAAGTTCATTCCAAAGGATGTAGAAAAAGCATATTTTAATTCAATATAATGTCAAGGTAAAATCTCTAGGGCTCTGAGTATTGAAAAGAACTTTCTCAACAAGATTAGGGAAAGTAATAAAATTCTACCACTACAATTTCTTTCAGTGATAAAAGGCTCAACACTTTCTTTTGGGGATCAGCATCTGGGGGAGGCCATCCTTACTTGTGATTTGAGTTACCTCCCTGGCTGAATGAGAGGTGCTTAAACACAGCTGTGTCTGAGCCATTCCCCACCCTTGCCCAGGTCTGAGTGTTTGTCCTTACAGAGGCGTGCCTGGCCACTGACCTGAAGACCCAATCATCGTCCTTGACCTTGGGATGCTGCCCCCCCCCTTAACCTTCATTGGATGGGATTTTCCCTTGGATTTTTTATTCCCCCATAAAAGGTCACTCCCTGGTACTCTCCTTCTCTTGCTAGTCTCTTCTGTAAGCTTTGCCACTGCCACCCACCTCAGTAGGTGGCTGGAGGCAGGAGCTAGGAGAAGCCTTCTTGGAGCTGTGTTAAAGGTAATGAGAGTCTGTCTCTTTAATTTAAAACTCACTAGCAATTTCTTATGAACTGAAACTTCTTTCATGAAGCTTGTGCTCATGTGGCAAGCAACAAAGTTAAAGTGTTGGATCTCAGCATTTTTTATGTAACTTAATTCTGGATCACAGCCAGCACAACATCACAAAGGCACAAAGGAGCCCCTGGTATATAGCTATGTTTAAATATGGTAGGCAAATGCTGGAGGTTTCTTGATTAGAACTCAGTTTTAGTTCTCTTCCCAGAATAGTTTGATTTCTTTGTTCTACACAGTGAGACCTGTTTTGCACTCTTGGTGATCCACTATTTTTCTCTCAATGAAATGCAGTCTGTGTTTGCAATTCCATAAGTTCTTCACTGCTTCTTGCTCAGAGAACTAGAGGGCTCTATAAGTCTCTTTGAATTTTGCACTGTCTCTGTCCCTTACATTGAAGTTCTGTTTCTCCTAATCAAGTTTCTCCTAAAAAGCCTCTTTGAAGTCCTTTAATGTATACCCATTGCCCAGCTCCAATGCTACTCTCCACCCTTTAAAGTTTTTGTTTTTGTTTCTGTTTTTTTTTTTAATGATGGGACCACAGTTGCTTGTAAATGTCTCTTGTAGATACTTATTGCTTGAAAAAGTCATAACAAAATATTTTTTCAGCCTTTAAAAAAGAGAAAATTTTTTAATTTGCAATAACATGGATGATTCAGGAGGACATTATACTAAATGAAATAAGCCAGGTACAGAAGGAAAACCCCACAACTCAGCACATAAGGGTTCTTTCTCCCCCTCCCCACAATGCTTTTAGAATGAGCATTGGCCTAGCAAAATCTACCATGGTCACATGTGCACCATCCTCAGAGACCAAGAGCTTTGGGTGAGCAGTGACCAGGTCCAGGAGATCACTTCTCCTACTGTAGAGAAACCAAGGACATGAGCTCTGTAGAAGCTCTGGCTGGACTTGGAACTAATTACTTCAGTAATCTGTTACCCACTTTTCTCCTCCATGTGATAGGAAAATTCCTTATGATTACTAACAAACACTACATAAACAAATTCTCACAGCATCCCGCACTATACAAAGAACACATTTAAATGTTGAAGGCCACTGTGAGCCACAAGAAGGCAAAGTCAGGAGAGAAAGCTGAGCCTAGGAAGATGAGGGGGTTTGTGTGGGGTCATGGCTACCTCAGATAGAAGAACATCTCTAAGGTGACCAGTGGAGGGTGCCCTGACTTTCTTGTTTCCTTCATTTTCCACTTGAGGAAAGAGGGCTGTTTCTGTATTTTTATCCTTTAATTTCCCTCATTCATCTTCTGTGCCTGCAGCTGCAGAAGTCATTACTGCCTGATGTGGATACCTCCCCCCACACACAGCTCACAGAAAGCCCTGGCATCTTAGGTCTCTCTCCCAGTCATGAAAATGTCCTGTGAAGGACATACAACAGTTTAATAAAGTCACATGTCTGAATAATTATTGACTTTACCAGAGTATCTCATTTTTATGTTTGTGCTATTTTAACCACAGTCACTTATTTAACCAAGTGAACATTCAGTACAACAGTCGGCGTCATCCCCATTGTATAGAAGGTAAAGCAGAGACACAATGGGCTCAGAAACTTTCCCAAGGTCTCACAACCCACAAATGATGGAGCCAAGATCCAAAACCAAGCAGTCAAACTCTAGAATTCCCATAGTGAGCCAGGAGCCTGAGCTGTCATCAATAATTGGTATAATTCACTAGTAAAGTCATTTGGAGAAGGGTTTTCTTTGTAGGTATTTTTATAAAATATATTATTACTAATTCAGTGTCTTCACTTGTTCTAGCTATAGTCGTAATGTCTATTTCTTCTTAAGTCAACATTATTAGTTTCTTGTCTATCTACCATTTGTCCATTTTATGTATGCTATCTAATTTTTTGGCACCCAATTGTTCACAGCAGAGTTCAAATTGTTTTTATTATTGCAAAGTAAGTAATATTGCACCCTCTCTCTTTTCTGATTCTAATTCTTTTATTATGTTTTTATTTAGTGTATCCAGCTGACAATTTGTCAATTTTTGTTCATCTTTTCAAAGTATTCTTTTTGGTTCCATTGATAGCTTCTCTGTTCTGTATTATTTTCTACTATTTCTTGCTATTATATTCTGCTATTTCTTCACTGTTTTGTTTTCTATACCTGTTTGGGGTTTAGTTTGCTCTTCCTTTTTAATGCAGGCATTTACAGATACAAATTTACTGCTATGAATTTCACTCTAAGTGCTCCCTTATTAATTAGTGTCTCATAAATATGATGTATTTTTTTCTTTATTTTCATTAATTTGAGAGTGTTTTCTAGCTTTATTTTAATTTTCTTAAGCCACTGACTATTCTGGAGTGTTTTTAAAGTTCCCATACATTTGTGATTTTCCCTAATTCTTGTATTATTTGATTGATTACTAATTTCATTTCATTGTGGTCAGAAAATATTTTTGTATTATTTCTTTTTTTCCATAAATTTATTGAGGTAAAATTGAAATACAAAAAAATGTACATATTTGAACTATGCAATTTGATCAGTTATGACATGTATGCAACCTATAAAATCAATATAAAAAGCATTTGTAATGCTTTATTAAAAAATATGAAATTGGGCTGGGGATATGGCTCAAGTGGTAACACACTCACCTGGCATGTGCGGAGCACTGGGTTCGATCCTCAGCACCACATAAAAATAAAATAAAGATATTGTGTCCACCAAAAACTAAACTAAAATAAAATAAATTCTCTCTCTCTCTTTAAAAAAATATGAAATCATGCAGACTGTGTTTCCTGCATGATTTATTACATTAAAAACCAATCACCTTAAGATGTGTAGAACCCCACCCTTACAGGTCAACTCTCTTCAAAATCATACATCACACTTATGAATATTTC